GGGGGGGGAGGAAGGTGAGAGAAAGATGCGATACTAACGTGGTCTCTGATTTTAAAGGGAATTCCAACCGAGAGGATGCCTTAAGAATGACAAAGATCTGTGCATATTTTCTGCACACTGCAGCTTGTAATCTCGCTGCAGTTTGTGGATGAAACATTTAACTCCCTGTTTTCTCATTAAGGACTGAAAGGGTCGAGCGGCTGAACCTCGGTCTGGTCCTGGTCGCCTGCCTCCTGCCTGGTCGGACAGGAAGCACCTCGATCACCAAGCCGGGCGAGCCGGCCGCCGCGCCGCGAGGGCAGGGAGAGGGAGGGCATACTTCTTGCTTCTGACAGGGTATCGAAAACGAGCGGGAGGCAAAGAGCACCGCATTTATCCTAACAAGGAAAACATTGTTATTATTTGTTGGGGCCGTGCGGCGGCGGGGGTCGTACCTTTGAGAAATTAAAAGTGTTCTCCCGGCCGGCGAGGCGCCGCCACCGCCGCGGGTGGGGGGAGAGGACTCGGGAGAGGACTCGGAGAGGAGCAGGGGCTTTGTCCCGCTGTGGCATTGCTGCTGCTGGTGCGTCCCGAATTTCTCTTATCCTTTTCATTATTGATGATTGACTGGATGATGATGGCCGTCACGGGGTTGACAGGTGGTGATCAGCTCAGCTCGCCTTTGATTTTGCAGAAGAAATAAAACGACTCCGCTGGGCCTGTTGCAGGCCGGGGTGAAGTGACGATGAGGAGGGGCCCACCCCAGCCGCCCGTGGCACTCCTCACACCCCGACGCCCCCACTGCCCTGGCACTGCCGAGGGCGCGATACCATACTACCTCCGCCCGTTGTTCCTGAGCGCGCTCGTTTAATTTTTAATTCGTGATCGCTGCCTGCGCCGGCTTTGCTGTGCTGCCTCTCCCAGGAGACCTGCAGACACTCCTCTGACACTTGTAGCGTGACGTCCGTGAGGGGCGCCCGCGCCAGACAACCCCTTGAGCAACGGCTCTGCCGCGCTGTTTGAGGACAAACACGGCGGGTCACGTGGGGGGCGCTCGCACGGCAGGAAACTGTCTGGAAAACCGCTGGCTGCCATGAGATTATAGCCAGGGATAGAGCATAGAATAGCGCGCGAAATCTCGAAAACCTAAGCACCAGCCGGGGGCGACTTCTCGTTGGCCTGGGGGGCCCAGCCCCGGGGTTGACAGCCATATCGACATTTTCCTTTAATTTATTTGATCCCTTTCTATAGGCTCTGTTTACATCGGGACAGCCCCGCGGCTCTCGCCTAGGAAGGGCTGTGCGTTAGGTTGTATGTGCGTGTCGTCGTGAGTCATCCCTTCGCACGCCATGCAATTTGCCAATACAAATTAGGGCAAGGCAGGGCAGTGATGAATCACCAGACTGTCGTTAGGCGTGTGATCACACCTACAGCGCCCGGATTTTTCTATAGGATGATTATTTTTTTCCCCCTTTCTGTTGGCGGGAAGGACAATTTGATGCCGTTGGACCACAACCACAACAACCGTAGGTGCGGCAAACGAACATTTGAGAGACGCAGAGAAGAAGGGGGGGTGGGGGGATGAGTGCGGAGCTGGAGGGCGTGTCTGTGTCCGCGGTGAGGCTGTACAGCGGCTGGAGAGCGGAGCAGGCCGGCACTGTGGTGAGGCGGGGCCGGTTGACCGGGGCGTGGCGGCGAGGTAAAGGGGCCCTCGTGAGGTGACCTGCAGGACGACATGTAATTCCCGTTTAATTAGGCTCCGGAGGTTCCCACAGGAGTACACAGTGAGCCGGGTGACTCATCTCGTCAGCCTGACCCGGCAATCAGTCCGCCCCGCATCACGTGGCGTGCACGTACTGCGCACGTAGGGACTACGCACGGAGCGGCGCACGTCGCTTAGTGCACCGGTCACTCAATAGCCTCAATAGCTCTCCGAAGATGCTGACTGGCGGTCACTCTTCATCGCTTCGACATTATCGCTCGCGTCAACGCGCGGAGGGGGGAGTTCCGAGTGAGCGAGTGGGGCACTATACGATGCGATTGTGTCACTACCGGTTCGCCTTGGTGCCCCTGGCCAGGGTGAAATCGTTAAACGACCGTTTTGATCCCGCTGGCGCCCGTTTGTGATTTGTTTGGTGTGTGTTCACGTATACGCACCGCGGGGTTATAAAACAGTAAATGTGGCTCGGATCCTCATCGGTTGGTCATGACCAGAGAGGTCGCCCGCCTCGGCCGGGCAATTACGGTGCACCTCCGTCGGGATGACCGATTCCCAATCGCTGCCCGTTCGACTATTATTTCGGGAGCGAGCAAGACAGGGGCATAACTTACTGTGCGGCCTCTCTCTGGCGCCGCCCGCAGCGGTGGCTGTGGCAGTAGTGGGTCCTAGGAGCAGGAGGAAAAAACAAAAGAAAAACACGATAGGCGGGTGAGAGGCGGGGCAGCCATCGCTAGTAGCAGGACCGTCCAGCCTATAGCTCTCCTCCTGTGATATAGTTCCCAGCTGCCTTTCAATTCTAGGCGGCATAAACAATCCCGAGGTACAACTGGCTGGGCCACCACTCAGGACAGGCCTGGACATGGCCGCGGTCCCCAGGGGCACCAGGGACTTCCCTGAAGCCCACCTAGACACACACACACACACACACAAGTGCGCGCGCGGTCTGAAATAATATTTTTTGGGGCGCATCGACGTTATTATTTTACCTGAATGATTAACTGCAACGGGAGAGTGAGTTCTTGAAATAAGTAAATCACCGTAGTTTGAAGGGGGGAATATTTCGGTTTAATAGAAATAGACCGCATTGTTTGAATGTGTATTTGCCTCGTTCCGCACTCCCACCGTCTGGTACTCCACTACACAATTTTTTTTAAAATATTTTAAATTTCCACTAAAATATTGTTAGCAAAAACAGGGCAGTAGAAACAGCACCTGTATTATTTTCAGTTCCCCTCCCAACCTGTCTTTTTTCCGCTAGCTGAGTTATGACCTTAGGTTTTTTCACTAAATGTTTTCCACATTGTTATTTATTATGGTAGCGCAGCTGATTGACTCATACGAAAAACAACTCTGAATCCGTAACATTTTGTTGTTGTAATGTTCCAGATAACTGCTGTGGGGGTGGATCTGCCTACCGACACAAACCGTGGCTCCTTCTGGCTCCTACCGAGTAGTCAACGCCCGGGCACGCGTTAATTGTAAGTGTCTCGAGGTCTGTGGGCCTCCCTGTATGACTATCATAGTCTTGATGGTCTTCATCGTGTTTCTTTGTTAGTCTAACATTGAATGGGTTGTTTTAATTTTTATCGTTCTGTACTCAGATTTTTACCCTTT